CGAAGGAGGAAGGCGCGTGGCGGCGGTGGTCTGGCGCCCCCGAGAACGGCGCCTGCTCGCCCCCCCCCCCCCACTCCCTCGAGCCGCGGGGGGAGGGGGGGGGTTGGGGCTGCCGGCGCCGTTGGGCCCCTTTGGTTGCCCTCTCTCCTCGGCTTTGGCCCGGCCAGCCTGAAAAGCCTGCCAGCCGCCCGGTCCCGGTCCCAGTTTGCCCCCACCCCCATCCCTCCCCCCTCGCTGCCTCTCCATTCCCCTCCGCCCCCCCCCCCCTCCCCCTTCCGTGCCTGTTCCCCCTTCCTTTGCTCCGCCTCTCCGCCCCCCCCCATCCCCCCCCTTGCCTCTCTCCCTTCGCCCCTCCAGCCCTGATGCAGCAATCCAGCGACACCCCCGCCGCGTCGGCGTCCGGCGTGGCCGGCGCCCTCGACACCAAGTCCATCTACCGTTCACTGCGGCAGGTGGAGCGCCTGACCGCGCGGCTCGGGTCCGGCGGCGACGAGGACCCGGCCCCGGCCGGGAAGCGCCCCAAGTCCGTGACGTCCGTCCTGGCGTCCCATGACTTCGGCTTCCTGTCGGCCACGAACCCGGCCTTCCGCCAGGCGGCCCAGGCGGCCAACGACCAAGCCACCGGGCTCCTGTCCAGCCTGGTGTCCCTGCAGGCGGACTTGCTGTCCCGGCTGGCCGATGCCGGGGCCGTCGGCACCTCGGCTCGGGACCTGGTTGATCGCTGCCAGGCCGGCACCTTCACCGACATGGATGACGTGCGGGATGGGTTTGCCGTGGTCGGCGACGTGACGGACTCCCTGCTGGAGTGGGGCCACACCGTGATGGAGGCCCTCAATGTGGAGGGCGGCCTGGCCCCGGACACCCCGCTGACCGGGGCCGCTGGCGCCATCGCCCGCGGCAAGCAGGCGGCCGCCGGCGGCGATGCCGTGGTTTCGTCCTTCCGTGTGGGCAACAGCCTGGACTACCGGCTCATTCATGGGCAAAACATTTCCCCCCCCCAGCAGACCTTCCCCGACAAGGTGGACAACTCCCAGGCCACCTTTGTGCCGAGCCTGCTGGCCAAGCCCCACTCGCTGGCTCCCTTCGACCGGGGTGCGCTCGTTGCTGGCACATCCCCCCCCCCCCCCCTCCCTCATGCCGACCTGTCTTCCTCTTCTAACGTGTCTCTTCCCTCCCTCCTTCCACATCCTGCCCTTTGGCTTCGTCTGGCGGCCGGCCATGCTGGGCTCCCATGCAGCCGAGTACCTCGCTTCCGGTGTGAGCAAGAACTCTCAGCTGTTCGACTGCCGGGATATGATCAAGGAGCACTATGAGAAGCTCGGCATCGATTCCTCGCTCTTCAGCTTCCTTCTGCCGCAGGAGACCATCGAGTGCGTTTGCGCGCCCCTTCATCGTGTCTTTCTCTTCGTCATCAGCCTCCCTGACGTGTGTTCCACCTCTGCCTCTCTGCCTCTCTGCCCCTCTGCCCCTCTGCCTCCCTACTTCCTCCCTACTTCCTCCCTCTGCCCCTCTGCCCCTCTGCCCCTCTGCTCCCCCCTGCTCCCCCCTGCTCCCCCCTGCTCCCCCCTGCTCCCTCCTGCTCCCCCTGCTCCCCTGCCCCTCTACCCCCCCCCTGGATAAAGGTACCCCCACCCGTACGCTGCCGAGATCGAGGCCCTCCGTGCCACCCTCCCCACCCTGCCCATGGCCCCGGTCACCGAGCAGATGTACCTGCCCATGGAGAGCACCCCCCGGACGTGGGTCGACACGCCGGAGCTCTTGGAGGACATGCGCCAGAAGTTGCTCCAAGTCCGGGAGATCGCCGTGGATCTGGAGCACCACAGCTACCGGTCCTTCCGGGGGTTCGTCTGCCTGATGCAGATCTCCACCCGGACCGAGGACTTCCTGGTGGACACGCTGGCCCTGCGCGGGCACCTGCAGGCGGCCCTCGGGGACATCTTCGCCGACCCGTCCGTGGTCAAGGTCCTGCATGGGGCCGATTCCGACATTGTCTGGCTCGAGCGGGACTTCGGCCTGTACATTGTCAACCTCTTTGACACGGGCCAGGCGGCTCGGGTGCTGCAGCTGCCGCACTTTTCCCTGGCCCACCTGCTGAGCTCGGTGGTCGGTGTGTCGGCCGACAAGCGCTACCAGCTGGCCGACTGGCGCATCCGTCCCCTGCCGCGCGAGATGGCCCACTATGCCCAGATGGACACGCACTATCTGCTCTTCATTTGGGATCGCCTGCGCAATCAGCTGCTGGCCCGCAGCGGGTCCGGCACCGGGCAGCTCCTGCTGACGGCCATGGCCCGGTCGTTGGATGTCTCCCTCAAGCGCCACGCCACCGAGGCCTTTGACCCGGTGCTGGCCTTCATGCAGGTGGCCGCCCGGACCCAGCGTCGGACCGCCCCCGGGGGTGCCCATTCCGCCGATGGGCTGTCCACCAAGCAGCGCGCCGTGGCTCGGGCTCTTTGCATCTGGCGCGAGGGCATTGCCCGGCAGGAGGACGAGAGCGTGCCCTATATTCTGCCCAACTCGCACCTTCTGCGCCTGGTGGCCACTCTGCCGGCCAATGATCGCCAGGGGGTCATCAGCTGCTCGCACTCCTGCTCCCCGGCCGTCCGGGCCAATGCCGATGTCCTGGCTGCCCTGATCCACACCGCCATGGAGTCGGTGCGTTCCTGTCCACGCCTCGTTGTGTGTCTCTGCTCGCCTTGCCCGCGACCTGGCCCCCCATTCTGACGTTGTTCTCTTTTCGGCTTTCCCCTGGACTTGCGACCGGACGCCCACGCCCACACGCACACACGCACACACGTTTACGCACACACGCACACACGCACACACGTTTACGCACACACGCACACACGCACACACGCACACACGCACACACGTATACGCACACACACACACACACGCACACACGTACACACGCACACAGGCCCCGGAGACTGCCAATTTCCATCTGCCTTTCTCGTCGGAGCTCCCGAGCGCCCCTAGCGACGAGAGCTCCTCCAGCTTGATGAGCCAATTCACTGCCACTGGTGCGCCCCCTCCCTCCCCCGCCTACCGGGCCCCATTTCTCCTCCCCTCGCCTCTCCCCCTCCATGGTCACTCTAACCTGGATGCTTGCGCAGCCGACCTCCGGCCGTATGAGGCCAAGCGCAAGGTGTCTCTCTTCGGCCCCACTCGCGAAAGCACCCTCCTCGGGCCGAACCACCGGCCGATGGCCACGCCAGTCCTGCCCCCGACCGCCGACGCCCAGGCAGCCCTGGCACGCGCCCACCACAGCATGGAGAACTCCCTCCTGGCCCCCGGCGCTCTGGTACATACCCCCGACGCGCGGCGGCCCACCTCGCCGGTGCCACCCCACGCCTGAAATGCCCCCTCCCCCCCCTCCCCCCATCTTACCCAATCCGAAATACACCTTCGACTGACACCGATGCCCTCCCCCCCCCCCATCTGCAAGTCGCGTCTCCTCCCAGCCGGGGCCACCCTGATCGTGGCCGAGGACATTAACGGCGGCACAGAGCGCGCCCGGGCCGCCATGGAGAAGGCCCACGACGAGGTGGCCGCCCTGGAGGCGGCGCGCGCCACGGCCAAGCCGGCTGCCGCTGGCGATCTCGACGCCGAGGCCGGACCCGCGGCCGGCGACTTTGCTGCCATCACCGCGGCCCCTGGGAACCGGCCGACCGTCCTGGCAGTCGGCCTGGCGGCCGGCGGCGGCCCGGTCGACCGGGCCCACACGAACGAGCGCATGAAGACCCTCTCCGGGCGCATGATCAACCCGCTGAACATCACCGCCGCCGGGGCCCAGCTGCATGGCGGCGTGACCTCCTCGGCGGCCGGGGCCAGTGCGGCTGACCAGGCCCGGGCCGACTTCGAAATGGCCCTCGAGTCGTCGGCCACCGTGCAGGGCGCCACCGCCAAGCTGGGCGCCGTGCTGACGGACGCCGAAAAGCGCGACGAGCGCCGGGCCCTGCACCGGAAGCTGGACGCCGTCACCAAGCCAGCCAAGGGCTCGGACAATGGACCGAAGGGCGCCCGCTCCCAGAAGACCGTCCTCCAGCCGAGTTCCGGCAACCGCACCATGTCCTTCCAGCAGTAGCCGCGCCCGGGGCACATGTCCAGCCTGGCTGTCCGGCTGCTTCCCCCCTCTTCCTCCCTTTTCCCCCTTCGCCTCCCCCCTCTCTCCCCCTCCTCCCGCCCCGTCACACCTTTCTTGTGTGCACGCGCGTCCTGGCCCTCGGCCGGCATAGATGTCCCCCCCCCCCCTCCCCCCTCCCCTTGTATAATGAATGAGAATACCATAACCCGTTGCAGCAGGCGTGCATGCGCCCCTTGCCGAGAGAGGACGCTCGATCCTCGCCGCGCAGAAAAGGAAAAAAGCCCCGCCCCCGACAAACACCAAGTACACGCATTGATACATTACAGCGCGCCACATTGGCGCAGGGAGGCAGGCGAGGGGAGGCGAGGGGGCCGGCAAAAAGGAAAAAAAAAAGAAAGGCCAGCGTGGGGATGCAGGAGACACATTTTGTCTCCGGCCGCCCGGCCCGGCCCGGCCCGGCCCGGCCCGGCCCGGCCCGGCCCGGCCCGGCCCGGCCCTGCCCCGCTCTCGGCCGCCTCCAGAGGGTCTTCTAATCGAGAGTGTCTAACATGCGCCGGTCCCGGCCCAGGGTGTGCCGGAGGACGTCGCGCCGGGTGATCATCGCCACCAAGGAGCCCACCGCCGGGTGGCCGACCGCCCCGACCGGGCCCCCACCGTCACCTGGCCAGTTCCCCGGCGAACGGGCGAACAAGTCCGCGGCGTCCATCGGCCCGGAGGACTTGACCGAGTCGCCCGCCGATGAGGGCGGCGATCGGGGCGACTGGGTGGAGGGCGCCGTGGCCGCCGGCCCGGCAGGCGGGCTGCCCTCGGCCGATGGCGGCCGACCCGGGGAGCCCCCCTCCAGCTCGGGAGGAGGGGCCTCGGACGGCAGCCCGGGCAGCAGCAGCCCCTCCGGCGACAGGGCCGCCCGGCTGACCAACGCCGCGCGGATGCCCAGCTGCTGGAACATGGTGATCAGGCTGCGGACTGGGAAGATCTCCGATACAGTGACCGGCACCTGGCGTGCGGAGGTGCGCGCGCGCGCGCGTGCGTGCGTGCGTGTGTGTGTGTGCGTGTGTGTGTGTGTGAGAGGGCACGAGGCCGAGCCAGCGCGAGGGGGGCAGACTGAGGTTAGAGCCAGCGACACGCAGTGCGCGCGGAAGGGCAGGCCGGCGAAAGGGGAAAAGAACAGGGAGAAGAAAAAAAGCCCCGTACAAAGTCCACAAACTGCCCGAAGGACAGGGCCCCCCGGGGCGGCGGCCCGGGCCCGAGGTAGATCACCGCCGAGTCGGGGATCGACCCGCCCTCGGCATGAGAGTCCCCCTCGCTGGGGGTCCCGGTCCCCCCCCCGAGCGGGACCATCGGAATGGACCCCGGCTGCCCGGAAGAGCAGCTCCCGGCGTCATCGGCCTCGCTCATGGTGGCGGCGCTCCGGCTGGCCCGGCGGTCGGCCTGCTCTTCGAGCTCATCCAGCTCGTCGGCCTCGAGCTCGACGGCCATCGAGTCGGCGTCCAGGTCGCTGTCGGGCGCGGCTCCGGCACGGGCTTCGGCCCGCACTCGGCGAGACTCCACGGTGTCCTGCTCGGCCGGGATGAAAGCCCTCCACAGGCCGCCCTCCGCGAAGAGGCCCAAGTCCAAGCGCGCCCACGGCGGCCGGCGAGTGGCCCGGGGAGCGCGACACCCGACCCCATCCCCGGGCAGTGCCCTGCCGGACAGCGCATGCAGCAGGTCCAGCCGCGAGGCCAAGCCCACCGGACGCATGGTCGCCAGGCTGTCCACAATCGGGTACGCTCGTGGGGGCCGATCGGACGCCCGGTCCCCCGGCCGGTGGGGGTGCACCACGGACCGGAGCTCCAGCGCCCGGCGCAGGGCCCCGGCCCGGATCAAGCACGGCAGGGCCAGCAGCGGCGCCTCAAGTGGTGGCAGATCGCCCGCCGGGTCGCCCGCCGGGTCGCCCGGGGCCGCTGGCTGCCTGGCCGCGAGCTTGGCCCCCACCCGGCGCGGCCGGCCGATGGAGTCCTCCTCCGTGTGGCCGGACCCCGGGTGGAAGCTGGACCGCGACCACCCGGCCAGCAGGTACGCCAGCTCCGGGGCCGGCCCCGGAGCCGAGCGAGCCTTGTACACCGGCCGCAGGGCCACCAAATCCAGGACGTTATCCCGGCGGGAGTAGTTCTGTTTGCGCTCCAGGTACGGGTGGCCGTCGAAGATGAGCAGCTCCTCGAAGCTGTCACCGGGGTGCGGGCGTGTTCGTGTGCGTGTGCGGGACATTTTTTTTATGACATGCCCGTGGCAGGCCGGGGGGGGGGGGGGGTTAGTGCCATCATCCACCGGAGGGTGCCCTCAAGCCGGACAGGCAGACGCAAGGGCGGAGGCGGGCGGAGGCAGGCGGAGCCAAGGGCAACGGCGGATGCAACGCACATGCCGGCCGGGTGAATCACACGCGACACCCAGTAGGAGACAGCCACCACCAGGCACACAGGCAGGATGTACTGCGTCTGGCCGGAGGCCTCCACCACAATGGCCACCGAGGCAACTGCACAACGAGACAGCAAAAAAAAAAAAAAGGTCAAGTTAGTTCCGGCTGCCTGAAAGGTGAGGGGGCGAGGCTGGCAACCGCGGCGCATGGCACGCACAAGTGATGCGAGAGGTGGACGCCATGAAGCCAGCGGCCCCGGCAATGGCATACATGCTCAACGACACGCAGGAGGCCGGGAAGGACGCGATGCCCGACACGGCGCACCGATGGAAGGCCAGCGACGTCGGGTCATTGCTGTGTGCCGGCCAGGCCCCGACGAAAGAGCCGCGTTAGTGCCATGCCTGGACCCAATGGAGCGGGAGGGGGGGGGCTCTGAA